CTAATTCACACCATTAGACATGGAATTTCACAACAGACATTTAATCAAGTAGCACATAACAATGTAATTAGATGGCTAATTAATCATATGTATGGTCGGGTCATTACAGTGATGGTTGATGCATTTTGATATGTTCGGTGCGTGGGATGGTATGTATGGGTTCAAGGGTTGGGTTGGGGTATTTGGTTTTGGTTGTTAATTGGATGTCGAATATGAACCACGTCGAAAGATGGCAATTGTACATTAGGACCTAAATGATTGTGTCACGACGCATGTTATATTTAGTATATAACGTTAATCCACATACACCGTGTAGTAGATAACATTTGTGTGTTTGTTTGGTTGTATATGTATTTGAATGTGTATCGTGTCTTTATTGTAATCAGTGTTTACATATATGTCACAGTACGTTAAGCAAAATTATTGAGGATATGGGTATGTAATTGAATGTGGATTGTATTCCATTGCTTGATGTTGAAGTTACGCTGGGTTGGGGGTGATGGTGGTTCAATACATGGGTTGGGTTAGGTTGGGTTGGGATGTTACATGTTACATTTAGGAGGTTACATTGTTCATAATTCAACGGTGGCGTATTGAATGTCATGTTGGGTTTGGAATGAAAAGTATATAAGAATGTCACGGTGGGTTTAAGATGTTACATGTTACATTTACGTTAGGTTTGAGATGAGAAACATATAAGAATGTCATGTTGTGTTTGGGATGTTACATGTTATATTTATGTTTTGAATTTCAAATTTCAAACCATGTAGCTAATGATCACAATCTATAGTAACATTGTATTTCTCATATATAGTATTACCATTAATCAAGTTATTTTGAATTTCATAAGCATATGGGAATGTCACATTAGGTTTGAAATGTTATATGTTATATTTATGTTTTGAATTTCAACTTTCCAACCGTATAGATATGATCACAATATATGGTAACATTGGATTTCCCATATATGATATTGCCATTAATTAGGTTATTTTGAATTTCAAATTTCTAACCATATGGATATGATCACAATCTATGGTAATAATGGATTTTCTATATATGGTATTATCATTAATCAGGTTATTAATTAATTAAGATTGTGGGTTGATGTATCCACAAGAAAATCACAAGACCTATTAGGTTATAAGTTTTTTCATAGGATCATATCTTGTATAAGCCTTCCAGGTGGGACTTATAAATAATTTACCCATTATACTAATTAGTCCCATTAATTTTGAAAATGTGGATTTAATATATTATTTAAAAATTGGGTTTATGGTTATATCATTATTTCCATTATGTTTCTTTTTCTTTTCTTTTCTTTTTTTTTTTTTTTTGATACTGAAAAAGCAAGATAAACAACCTATGAGAATCAAATTTAGTGTCGATTTTGATATGAGAATCTTGTTTATTTGAAATGGCTTAAAATGTGAGATTCTTCAAACATTCCGAAAGAAGTACCAAAATAACTTGAAACGGAAGTACAAAAATAACTTAAAATGTGAGATTATTGCAAAAAGAGTACAAAAACCCCTTAATAAGTTTTGGGCAAACATGTAATTTTAAACTGTAGGATTTTGATTTGGATTGGCTTGAAATGTGAGACTTTTAAAAATTTTAAACATTCTAAAAAGAGTACAAAAACTTCTTAATAAATTGTGGACAAATATGTAATTTCAAATTTTGGAGATTTCAGTCATTAATGAATATTAATTAGCATCCATAAGTGTTAACTACAGGATTATACTGTCATTTCACAAATAGAACATTTGTATTCATTAAATTATTTAAAAGACTTATTAATTACTAAAAATATGAAAATGAGATTTATTGATACTTTTGCTATTAAAAATTCTTAAAATTAAATTTTAAAAACTCAAAAACAAACAAAGTGATCAGTTGCAAATCCAAGTAAAGATAAGGTAGCCAATTGGGAGCTTTGCACAAGTTTGGAGAAGTTTTTATATGTCAATAGAGTATCACGTAGTATTATCTTTCATTAATTATAAATTTATATATTTTTTATTATTTTTCAAACATGCAACATAAATATAATGAATCTTATTATTAAAGACAATCACAATAATAAAAAATATTATATGATATATATTCTATCCGCATATAAAAATTACTCAAGGGTTATATAGTAGAGAGCATCAGATCGTAGGAAATTATAGATTATAATTTCATAACCCTAGCCCATTCCATATTGGGGGGCAGTACACACGTGCGATGATTTAAATGATGATGGTGAGATAAGAGGCCCTTACCCACACGTGAAATCAGATCTTTGACTTTCTGGGTTGCAATAATGGGCCGAGCCCACCTCCATCTAACTTCTACTCTCCTTCTTGTCTGCCTACCAAAATTATTCCCCCACAAAAAATAAAAGAAAATAAAATCAAAATTATTAGTGACCCCAGGCAAAAATTAGTAGGTGGATTAGTTTTTCCTAAAATACCAGGTAACTTTTTGGTCGGAGCCATTCCATGCCTATGCACAACATACACATAAAAAGTGTTTTATAAACTCAAAAAATCTTATAATTTTTTTTTTTTTTTTACCAATACCTTATGTGTCATTCAATTATAAAATCTTAGAATCTGAAACAAGTCGATCAAGTTCACTTTAAAAATAAAATAAAAGAAATTTTAAAAAAAATTTAATAGTTTGTATGGCATTACTTTATAATCATATCTATCTATTATAATTTAATTATATCTATTATCTATCTATATTATTATATAAAGTCTATGCATGAGTTAATGAATATTTTCATATTTTTTAGGTCTATTTTGGGAAGTGGCTAAAATAAGTGAAAAAATCATTACAAAAAAAAGTATATTTTTTTCTTTATTTTTTTACATATTTTTTGGTAAAAAATTAAAAAACTAACTAAAATAGTCAATCCTCAAAACAATATCTTGTTTTCTCAAAATACCTTCACATAGCTACATGTACCTTGTTTCTCAAAAAAAAATAAAAATAAAGCATGTATCTTCTTACCTCATGCAACTATCATGATCAAATTCACATCATGTAACTTCTTATCCCATTGGATGTGCATACAATACTAGTGGGTGTTTGGAAAGTGGTTTTTCTGTAGGTTTTTTTTAGTTGTAGGATATTATTGGAGAAAATTTTTTTTGTGTTTGGAAAGATAGTTGAGTTTTTTTGTGGTTTGATGTAATGTTTGTGAGAGAAAAAGTGAAATGATTATGGAATTTGATGTGATATTTTGTTTGAATTTATTTTTTTTTGATTTTGTAACCAATTTGTCTTTTAGTAAAAAAAAAATCAAAAAACCAAGTTCCCAAATAAATGTTGCACTATATTTTTTTCCTTCATCAAACCAATATGCTAATGAGTTTCAAATTATTCAAAAATTTTAAATATGAAACTACAAACATGAGTTTGAACCCACCACTAGTATATCTTCACCATCATGAATGTGTCGTAAGAACTGGCCCTTCGTAAAAAGTAGGCAATATTGTTCTCCAACAATATGGGTCTCCAAATGTTAGTTATTTTACTGTATGTTGTCAAACTCATATAGTAGCCGTTTGGATCCGCAGAAACTTACTCATGAGTCGGGTCTGAGCATTCCAACCAGGCCCAGGCTACAACGGTACCTCTGATTTTAGTGATCAGATCAATAATCATATGGGATATCAAAGAGTTCTAAGCATTTTGCACTCAATAAAAATTTACTAAAGACAAGAAATGCAACGACAAAAAAGGTAAATAAAAAAGCTTTTGCAAACAGTGAACCGAAAGTTTCGGTCTCATTAGATATTTGGAGATTTTCAGCACATGCAATGAATGCACACTGTACTGCTTTTGTACAAATACTACCGTTTTCCAAAGTAATCAAAATGCTCAAAAGAATGGGGAACAACCCAACATACCATTTGAACATGTTTTATCATGCACATTGATTGTCTTGGGGGAAAAAGGTAATAAACAGAACAGTAAGTTTTAAACTAGTTTGGAGTAGCACTATTTAACCCAAACAGATCTCATTAGTCATCATTTAAAATAAAATTTAAGTGCACAGAATCCGATCACAAAACACAATTTTCTCACAAAGCATCTTATTAAATAGTATCCAAATGTAGCATAATCATACCAATATAATTTCGCATAATATCAATATTAGAATCGTTAGCAGGCTGCAATAACACATCTGCCAGATTAAGGCACAAACACGTTCTCATGAAACTTATCAAATTTCTTGCTTAAAGCCTTCATTCGCTTCACATATCCCTACATCTGCATGTCCAAGATGTCAATCCACTGTATCCAAGAATCACAATAGATTTCTCATGTATGGATTCATTATAATACTTTTTGCCCAACACAATTCTACTTATAAAGCTTAGTGCAACCTGCAAAAGATGATGTTATAGTATCGAATTTCTTAACAAAGCAAACCCGTGGTGACCAATCAAATGGGTCATCACACAATGTGATTAGTATCACGTCACATCATATAATGCCCAAATGCTATCACTAGTATTACTCAGATGGAACATAGTACAAAGATTTTAACTCAATCAACTTGGACTAATACAAATCAAGATTTTAAACATTGCCCTGCTTAAAAGGTGAGGCATCCCATCTTTTATTGAACTCCAATAATTTATCCCCCCCCTCCCACAAAAAAAAAAAGAAAAAGAAAAAGAAAAAGAAAAATGCAAGCATGAAAGCAATTCTTGTTTTTGTTGTCAACAAGTCGGCTCACTGATGTTACATGCAGGGCACCCTTCTTTCCAAAGCCATATAACAGCAACTCAAATTTATGTCATCACCATAGCTACTGTATAATTTATTGTCAAATAGTTCTGCATCAGAAAGTCATCACCAAGCACCAATTCACAATGCACAAGGATCAAGTGCTAGGATGCCAAGTTGACTTCTGCCAAATATTCCAAACTTCCACTTCCATCTCTAGCATAATCGCACAACAAAACAATATATAGGCTTCAAGACAAACACAATTGAAAAGGTGAAAAAGTATCTTTATTTTATGACTGGTGAATTTAACACAAAAAATAAAGTTGATCATCGGATTTTTTTCACCCCCATGATTATAAAAATAAAAAATAAAAAATAAAATTATAAAGGGCTGTAGTTGTGATGAAGGAAAAGGCATTATCTACGGTCAATAAGTCTACAACCACAATTTTGAACAATTACAGAAACAATTTTGACCCTTAATACATGCCCTTTGGATCTAACATGGCAACACGAAATTACTGCCAAGTCAAAAATAACATCGAAGGACACATCTTCCATTAATCCATGATCACAGTGCACTGTCTTTTAAATACCCTCCTTCCCCTTTTGCCATCGTCAGATTCCTGCAACAAACAGAAGCTTGTAAGCTAAAATTCCAACAAAATAAGTTCTCATCTGAGGGAAAATAGCTTCAAGTGGCAATGATTCTCATCAGAAAAGTTCTATATATATCAACAAAGGAAAATACGAATAACTAAATTCCTTAAGGAAGGCATACTATTGTTAACATTTATTTATGTAATTGATGGGTACATTGTGTTGTAAATGCATTTAGTATGCCATTTTTCTGAAGTAGTTGCATAACTATGAGATAGCAAACGCATATGAACCAAACATAATTCCCGAAATGTAGCACAATAAATGAGAAACAGAATGCTCCTCCAAGAGAGAGCAACTATTTGTCATCAACAAAATCAGCAATATTCATCTGCAAGCTTTCAGCATTACCTGTTGGCCGAGAAAAAGTGGGACTCGAACCCTCTTGGATCCATCACCTAATCGTCTATAAGGAAAATGGTTTTCCACAGCAGCAGATTCACTAGAGACCTATAAATGTGGCAAATAAAATTACAGAAAATTTAGTTTGTTCAGTCCATTCCAATCCTTAAAAAAAAAGACAATCAACAAAAAAGTTAAAATGATTTTAGTGGTAATGACAATCCTACATCTAATGTATAGCATCCCCAAATTAGAGAAGGAAAGAAATTGGCAACAAGAGCACAATATCATGCTGCAAATATGATGGTCGGTTGCTGAGCTATCTTGAACCAGTCTAGTCTAGTCTAGTCTTCTCATATGCCCACATAGCCTAAATGTTATCAGCCTTCTGATTTGCACAGTGCAAATAAATATAAAAACTATAGATTATTCACCTGGTTTTGAATGGTTTCAACCAACATATCTTGGCAACCAAATGCATGCACACTTTCCAAATTTGGGCACTGAAGGAGCAATCTCTCTGGAGATTAAAATAAAAAACATAAAATCAGTTAACAAAAACTACAACTCTCAAAATACTTTTGCGTGTATGTCACCAGCTTGAAAAAGAAAGAACTCAGAGAACATACCAGGATGCAAGTTTCGACAAGAATTTAGATTCAGATCATTGAGCTCTGGGCAGTTCAAATATAAAGCCTGCACACAAATTCACAAATTCAGGTCCAGAGTGAAGAAATAAGCGAGCAAGATTATACAAATTACTTAGACTAGTGAATCTCACATCTAAGCCAGAACAACCCCACAAGCTAAGTTTTTTCAGCTTGCCATGTTTGATAATTAACTTCTGGTAAATAAGGTGTAGTTTGCTGTTGGGAGTTTTCTGCAACTCATGGTCACAGCTTTCTTCGAAGTTTGGAATCTGGAAATTGGGGTCACATATGGTCATTCCACAGTCCATGATTTCAAGAAGAGGCAGTTGAGCTGCAGCAAATTGGATTCCACCTAAAAGATGCAGGAAGCAAGTAAAAAGTCAGTTGGAAACCAAAAATAAAATATAAATACATAAACAATTACAGAAAATTGCATTAGATACAAAGCTGATCTTGAAGTTTACTTGAAGTAATGTTAGGACAGAGAGCAAGAAGTAGTCTTGATAGTGTTTCAGGGAACACATTGCAGATCATACCAATGCCACTGTCACTGATGCTAGACCTGAAATTGAAGGTGTCAAAGAATTACAATCTCAAAGATTAAACTAAGAAACAAGCAATTGTTTTGACAAAATAATCATTGATTACGAAACAAGCAAGAATAATTCCAAATTTCATTTACATTGTTCAAGTCTTGAAGAAACAAGAAAATAGTTGGACCTTGCATAGTTACTTAGTAACATCTGGCTTACATTAACTACCATTTGTCCAATTTACTAAAATGCAATGAAACTGTGGATTGAAGCATACCCACTTAGATCAAGCAATTCTAGGTTTGAGTAGCTTGAAGCAATTGCTGCAACAGATGCATCAGTGATTTCTGATCCAAGCACCAGTGAAACCATTTGCAATCCTCTGCATAGTGGTGACATAGTGCAGTAATGTAAGACACATAAAATGGGGAGATAGCCACACAAATTAAAAAAAGCTTGTTTTGTTCTATAAAATTTTCACTATTTTTACTTAACTAAAAAAAACCATTGATGGTGGTGTTCCACTAATCAATGAAATGAAAAATCAGCCTTTCAAGCTTAAGTATTTAACAGACCTCAAATTTGCAGCTGTGAGAGCAAGCACAACAGCATGAGAAAGTCGAATCGATGCAATGTGTATGTTTTGTAGCCTTGGGCAGTTCCTTCCCAAACCATCCACCATGTTAGTAAGATCAGTATTATCATTTTCTTGGCAAGAAAAGTCTAGGGAAATCTCCTTCAAATTGGGGCAGTTGAAAACCTAAACAGCCAAACAATGGATGACAAAATGATTTAAATGCACTACAAATGATGAGAGTGTAAGAACATAGGAAAGCAGTACCTACAGAGACAACACAAGAAAATAATAGCACTAACCATCTTAGTGAGAGAGTGAAGATCTGAAAGCCAAAGCGTCAAAAGACTTGATGAACAAAGAATAAAACCACCAAGGTTAGAACAACCTTCCATCTTTAGGCTTGTAAGACATCTTTTATCAGCAACAAAACGACCCAATTCATCACTGCATTAAGAACATATAATAGCTCCAATTAGTTTCTACAAACAACCACAATATGGAAAAAAATCCATCTCTAAATTTTCAAAAAAAAAGCAAGACTAATTTGTACACACCACAAACGAGGTTTACTATGATAAATAACTGGAATACTATAGCTTAACTCTCAAAAATCTAAAAGTATGTGTCAAATAACAAATAAGTTTCCATCATCGAAACTGGATGAGATCCTTATGAAGTGTGCAATAGGAAGCATCAAATATTATTACATGATTATATATATATATAGATATAGATATAAAGAAGAGTAAAATAATACGTTTGATTGTTATAACTCATCCACGCTGGCTCAATAGCAACTAGAAAAGATCCTAACCATAATCTATAACTACAAGCTAAAGAACTTAAAAAGCCTAATAACTGTGTGCATCTGTGCCTTTATGGCCAAAACACGTACAAACACGAACCTATCATAACTAATGAGTCCTTTATTTAACATATACAACAGACAAATCAGAATCTGTTAAACCCAAACTACACTAAATATATTTTTTGACTTAGTTTTGTATCAATAATCTTGCATCACATTAAATATCTATTGTCTTATCATGTGGCTTTGGCATCATAAAATCCCAAAAAAAAAAAACTAGTAAACCACATCCCAACAAATTGAAATGTTAGTAACATAGATAACATTATGTAAAGCATCTCTTCTCTAAACTGTGCATCATGTGTGGATGAATCATGATTTATGAAGCAACCCAGGGGAAATTTTAAGCCAGCTACCTACTGCAAAATCTCACAACCCACTTCCCTCTTAATATAGAAAATAAATACTAAAAACAATCAGGGGTTTTAAATGACTATGCATAGTAACCACGTCCAGAAGCAGCACAAACTTAAAAGTGCACGTATATGAAAAGGCATACAAACAGAACAGAAATAATACCCAGTTATCCGATTGAATGAGGTACTCGATGTAAAGATCTCCATAGACTCCAGATTAGGGCAAGAGAATGCAATGCAGGCCAGCATCGTTGCATCCACATCACTGCAACACCCAAATAGAAAACAATTAAACCATGTAAAAGCACAAACAATGATAAAATCTCTTTTGTCTTCTCCAATAACTTAAAATTTCAAGTTCTAATTACATCAGATCTAGAAAACATAATTTCTAACGAAAAAGTAATAAGCAATTAAATCACTACCGATTTCTAAATTGTTCAATATAGCAACATGCTTACAGTATTCAACGGATCATTTACCATTGATAACAACTGTAATTTAGATTTGCAATTTGGCTCAAATTCTAAATGACCCAAGAAAGATCACTCATTTAATTCAATGCAATCTGAATTCAAGAGTATTCACTGATGATCTGTGCTTTATGTCCATCAATTAAAATCCACAATAACATGTCGCAGTTTGTTTTAATTTTCGTTTTTGTTTATTATTTATGAATTTGTGTTCAGTTATGATCCTGTTCTTATTAACTTGGTTTAGTCCTGTTCATAGTCGATTCAACTGATCCATCCAAACAAACAGTAGATCTGATGAATAGTCATCGAAAACCCTAGAAAAACCCAAACCTTTCCATTCTAAGAGAGAGTCTAACAAGACCAGGACACTTCTGCAACACCGATCCGGCAAATCCAACCTGAGCCTTCGCCGGAACCCTAAGCCGGAGTTCCTCCGCCGCTCTCCAAAGCTTCCTCGCCGTGTCCCTCCACCCCTTACACACCTTCGCCGCCGACAACAGCTCCGGCGGAGGCAACCTCCTCAGCACTTCCCAAAGACAACTCACCGGCAACTTACCGGATCCCATTACTTGTTCCAACTCCGATGCATTGTTCTCATTTTCATCGTCAGAGTCCGGCAAGACCTGGACGTCAATGTTGTCGAAGGAGAGTGCGCGGCAGAGGTGGGAGTACGGGGGGCGGACAGCGGAGATAGGAGAGGGGGCGGCGGCAGGGGAGTTGGAATCAGTGGTGGTGGTGGTGGGCGGAGCATGACAGATGTGGCCTTTCTTAGGGAGACCACAACGACCACAGTTGTAGCCACCCCTCTTTTTGCCTCGGTTGGGTGGATGATGAGAGTCGTCCGAAATGGAGGAGCCGCCGGCGCCGGCGCCGGCGGAGGGGTGGGGATGGCGGCCTTGCATTTAGAGTTTGTTAGATTTAGATTTGGAGAGAGAGAGAGAGAGAAATGGGCGAAGAAATATAGAGAGAAAGGAGGGTGTGGTCGGAAAGGCGCGGGAGATTGAGACAAGTTGGCGCCTTGATTTTGAAAACAAATGTGAGGAGCGTGGCTAATCTACTACCAGTACTATAATAATAATCCACTTTTGACTTCAACTCCGTTACCAGTACTACGAATTGTTCATTTTGGTATGAGTAACTATTATGCGCCAGGGTGATAAATTCAATTCCTCTCTTGGGCCAATTTTTTAGGTGAAACACTATTAGTTAGGAGGTTAGACCTCAAGATACCTAATAAGCTACTTAGTATGGATTTAATGTTTCTCGCTGTGCGAATCCTGACTTAATCGAAACTTGTCTTGGAATGTCTCGTAGTGTGGGTTTAATGCTTCCTCACTGTGCGAGTCATGACTTAATCGAAGCATGCCTTGGGAGGTCGGGACAAGCTTCCAAATTGAGTCTGGATCCTCTCCAGCCAAAACTCCCTCCTGTCCTCCAGTCAAGGGCCACGATTTGGCCACGTGGCCCTTTTAAGATCTACGGCTCAGGAAAAAAAAAAACAAAAACAAAAACAAATTTGAATTTTTGATTTTCGACCCAGCACAAAGCTTCCCTCCCATTCCATTTTCCCTCCTCTTCGAAGCTCTTTTTCCCTCCTTCTTCCAAGCTCTGGCGATTGGCGAAGTCGACGGCAAATCAACTTGAACGATCGGCGGTGAACATTAACGGTGAACCAAGCTCCGGCGACCCCGCGAACAAGAGCTCCACTTCGTCATCAACTGAAAGTAATCTTTGTCACGGCTAGGCAACATTGTTATTAAGGAACATTAAGGAACTTCCTGTGGAGTAAAAAAACTGATTAAAAACTGATTACGTTTTTAAGGAACATTGTTATTAAGGAACATTAAGGAACATTTTTTGTCATGGCTGAGCTCTAGTGTTGTTCATTTGCTTGAATTTGTTTAAAAACTGATTACGTTTTGATAATAATCAGTGGAAACAATACTATGGGAAAAAAAGCTTAGGCTCTAGTGTTGGGTATTTGCTTGAATTTGTTTAATGCAACCATGATTCATCTAAAACTAGTTAGGTTTTGATAATAATTAATGGGAACAATACATTAACTAGTTAGGAAGGATACTAGTTAGGCTTGAATTTGCTTGATGTCATTGTTCTGTTGTGAGCGGAACATGTCACAAGACTTCCACTATCTACTTCATTAACCTCAATAACCAAGAGAATGACTTATGTTCTGTAATCCATCTCCCTAAGTTTTTAACTCCTGAAACAACAGATTAATACAAGGAAGATATAAAAATCACCTAAACCATTGACATATTGTTGTCTATAAGTTCATTCAAGACCTGCACTTCTTTGTAATTGAAGGTAATGAAGAACAATAAAAAAAATGATTGTGGTTGAATGAAGCTATAAGTTCATTTAAGTAATGTTTCTAATTACTGTTCTACCATTTGATTGCCTCTACTTTTCAGTTGCGTTTTTATATGGATATGGAACCTGACAATGATTGTGGTTGGAAGCCAAAAGTAGGAATGACCTTTGATTCGGAAGAAAGTGCGTACGATTTTTATAATGCATATGAAGGAAGAATGGGATTTAGCATAAGAAGGGAATATTGTAAGAAGAACAAGTTAACAAAACAAATTATTTCTAGAAATTTGGTTTGCAACAAAGAGGGATTTTGGAAGGTTGACAAGCGAGACCCATTGACAAAAACCCCTAGAGCTGAAACTAGGACTGGTTGTGAGGCCCGACTTTTTGTTAAATTGGATGTCAATAATGGGAAATTTGTTGTGATTGATTTCAAAGAAAAACACAACCATGAACTTGTATCTCTTGATTGTGCTCATATGTTGCCATCGCAAAGAAAGATATCAGATACCCAAGCAATTGAGTTAGACTTAGCCTCAGAGTCTGGTCTTCATTTAGGGCAGTCTTTTGAACTGATGGGTAGGGAAGCTGGAGGGCGGCACTCTCTTGGTTTTATGAAATTAGATCAAAAAAATTACTTGAGAACCAAAAGACAAAAAAGTTTAGCGTATGGGGAAGTAGGTAATGTGTTGCAATACTTTCAACAAAAATCTTTGGAGAATCCATCTTTTTTTTATGCTTTCCAATTAGACAATGAAGAGCAAATAACGAATATGTTTTGGGCCGATGCACAAATGGTCATGGATTATGCCCAATTTGGCGATGTAGTTATATTTGATACTACCTACAAGTTAAATAAAGAGCATAGGCTATTTGCATCTTTTGTGGGATTTAATCACCATAGAGAAACAGTTGTCTTTGGTGCTGCGTTGTTATATGATGAGACTGCCGAAACATTTGTATGGTTATTTCAAACTTTTTTAGAGGCTATGTCCAAAAAGGCACCAAAAACTTTGTTTACCGATCAAAATGCTGCAATGGCTAAGGCCATACCCATTGTCATGCCTGACACGAGTCACCGTTTGTGCACTTGGCACTTGATGCAAAATGCATTAAGGGATGGTAATTGTCTCTTTCAAGATAAGGGGGTGAAAGGTGTATTAAATAGATTCATGTTTGATATTGAGGATGAAAATGAATGGGAAATGAAGTGGGGGGAAATGCTTGATACATATGATGCTCATGACAATCATTGGTTGAAGTTGATTTTTGGGGTGAAGGAAAAATGGGGCTGGCCATATGTTAGATCAACATGGGCTGCGGGAATGAGTATAACACAACTTAGTGAATCTTTTAATGCATTTTTGAAGGATTATATTCGTTCTGATTTTAATTTAAATGAATTCTTCATGCATTTTGAAAGGGTACTCTGTGAGAAGCGGTACAAGGAGTTAGAAGCTGGATATGCTTTATGCCAAAGGTTGCCAAGGATGCGAGCGCCATTCATAATGTTGAGTCAAATGGGTAATGTGTACACTAAAAATATTTTTGAGGAGTTTCAAGATGAGTATTTTCTTTCTGTTGAATCAGACATACAAGCAATTGAATACATTGATGGTTGTAGCCTATACACAGTTGTTGATGCTATTGGGAAAAATGCAAGGAAAGTGAAAATGGAAATGGATGGCTCTTTGGCTTGTAGTTGTTCAAAGTTTGAAAGGAAAGGGATTTTGTGCAGTCACTGTTTAAAGGTTATGAGAGAAATATTGAAGTTGAAAGAGATTCTTTCACAATACATTATGAAGAGGTGGACCAAACAAGCAAGAGGAGAAGCTGTGACGGACAAGTTAGGGAATGAGATTCAAGTAGACGTCAAATTCAAACAAGCCTCGCGGTATAAGACATTGATGACCGCATTTAGATCAATAGCATGTAGAGCTACTGAAACTGAGGAAAGTTATGATTTTTGTTGTTCACAAGTAGCTGCATTAGGTGCACATGTTGAAAGCATGATAAGTGCACATTTTTGTCCCGAAAAAAAAGTAAGTATTAATGATCAACCTCAAACCTGTGAGCAAGAAGACAACAATCATGAAGACAACAATCATGTTGTGCAAATTCCAATAGGATTGAAGAAAAAGCATCCAACTAGTAAGGGCAAAAAAAGGATAAAAAGTCCATGTGAGCTGGCATTGCAAGCAAGCATTAAAAAGAAGTCCTGTGCACAATTTTTGAGTTCTTCAAGACCTGTTACTACTCCAACCGTGAGACCTTCTCCATTATCTATTGGAGGAGATCTAAGTATTCATGAAAATGTTACTCCTCTTCATCCTCCTCTTGCTCCCCCTCATCCTCCTCATTCCGTTGCCATGGGTGGTACAATTCCTCCTCCATTAATATATCCCACATATAATGTGAGTCAGATTTGTAGCCAAGTAATTTGTGTTTTGTCAATTAATTTTTCATTTGCATCTTGTTATGAATCGTAATATAATATGAATGAATTGTAGGCAAACAATTTGGCATATTGTAGACAACCAACATTTATGACGCTGCTTCAAGGTGGGTATGACATTGGGTTTGAAGATTCTCAAGGCTCACAGACAGGTTCTCGGCCAACAAATAATTTGTTGCTGCATACTGAAGTACTTTTGCTGCTGATTTGGTACTTTTGTTGCTGATTTTGTGCTTCTAAAATGTTGTTTTTGGTGCTGATTATGTGCTGCTGTAATGCTGGTTTTGGTGCTTATTTTGTCCTACTGAAGTATAGTGTTGGTGCTGTTTTTTTTTCCAGGGTTTGGATGGCCATGAAGAGCTGGAAGGCACTTCAACTTTCATGCATAGGAGATGCCTCTAAGCTGCTGTATTTAACATTGATGTTGATGTTGAAGTTGAAGTATTTAATTGTGAAACTTGTTCAAACTTGTTAACTATTTAATGTTGCTATTGATGTTCAATGGTGAAACTTGTTGAGCTGCTGTATTTTGATTGTGAAACTTGTTGAAACTTGTTAAGTATTTAATGTTGATGTTGATGTTAATGTTGAATGGTGAATGGTGAAACTTGTTGAAGTATGTGGGATATGTTAATGGAGTTTATTTTGTTTTGGATATGTTGATGTTGAATGGTGAATGTTGTAGCTTTATTCAAAATCTTTGTTGAAAATCTGTTTCCAAAACTTTGTCTTAAAAAACAGTGTTGAAAAAATCTTTGTTCAAAATCTGTTCACAAATCTATGTTTCAAAATCTTTGTTTAGGGCAATCTGTGCTGAAAATCTGTCTTTGTTTAGGGCAATCTGTGCTGAAAATTTGTCTACAAAAACCTGAGTTCAAAATTTCTGTTCACAAATCTGTCTTTCAAAATCTGTGTTCAAAAACTGTGCTGAAAATCTGTCTTTGGAAACTGTCTTCAAAAACTGTCTTCAAAAATTCAGGTTCACAAAAATTCTGTCTACAAATCTGTTCACAAAACTGTCTTCAAAAACTTGTGTTCAAAATACATAGCCAAAATACATAGCCAAAAACCTGTTCTGAAAATTCTGTCTTCAAAAATTCAGGTTCACAAAAATTCTGTCTACAAATCTGTTCACAAAACTGTCTTCAAAAATTCTGTCTTCAAAAACCTGTGCTCAAAATACATAGCCAAAAACCTATTCTGAAAATTCTGTCTTCAAAAACCTGTGTTAAAAAACTTGTGTCAAACCTCTGTCATGAAAATCTATCGTACATTACAAGTCATTACAAAATCTATCATACTCATACTCATACATTACAAAAACTGTGCTAAAAATCTGTCATACTCATACATTACAAAATACATTACAACTCAAACTCATACATTACAAGTCCACTATACATTACATACACATTCCACGTACATTACAAGTCATACTCATACTACCTTACATTACATACACATTCTACCTACAATACAAGTCATACTGACACTACCTTACATTACATACACTATTTCAAATACACTAAAATCACAACTACCAGCAACAACAAAACAAAAAAAACAAAGGTGTAATTCAATTTTGCACCAACTCTTTCAACCACCATTGCCAAGTCTCTATATTGTTTCCTACTCTTCATAGTCATGTCTTTGAGCTCCCCATTCACGATAATTACTTCTCTAAGAGTAGACAAGACTTCCATGCGTTCTTCATCAATATCATTCTCGACCACCTTCAAATTATGCTGCATATGTGGAGGGATCCACCACTGAAAGAAGTTGCAACCATTCGGATAATTGGAGCATACAAAATAAAGGCAATTTGGATTATCCGTTGACTGAGAAATCTTCACCACAGCTTTTTTGCCACATCGACAATTGCGGTTTTCAAATCTAACTTCATGCATGTTGTCCATACTTGCATTTGTGCTTGACATTGACATTGACCTACAAAAAATTATCAAATACACAAAAATTATCAAAAAAGAGACAATAACCCCAATGGTGTTTCTACATCCAAGAAAGAGGTTCACATGCATATGTTTATCATACACAATAAAAAAGTTTTTGGCTTTACATTCACAGAAATAACAATTTTGATCAGATAATGTGGGGTTTTCGAGAAATGGTCACTCAAAGAGTGGTTTGAGACATGAAGCAATGCCCTTTTCTGATAGGATATGCTGTTGTAAGTTTTAGATAAGGGTGACTGAACTTACCTAATGTTGATAAGTTGGACCTCTACTTATTCTGCTATTGATGTAAGAAATTTTGTTTACTAGCTCCCTCTGTGGTATGTTGGATTGATCTTTCAAACTAGATGAAAATTCTCATATCCACAAATCAAACTTGGGTAGACCAGTGCTAAATTGTAAACAAATATGCCATTAGATAATAGAACAATTATTGCCATGGCAGTTTGTTTTGAAGAGTATATATATTTTAATGAACCATTATGAGCATGTAAAGAAAAAAAAAAACAATGGCAGATGGACAGTGGTATATATATATATATTATATACATTATGAGCATCTGAAATTTGAAAATCCATAGCTGTGTTTACAGATCCAAAATGGACGGCTTTTTTGTTTATATACATTATCAGCTCCTCATTTTATGTATATATATACATTATATATGTAGATGCATACATTATATATGCATATGCATTGCAAGCCCCAAATCAAAGTAAAGCCCCAAATAAAAGCCCTAATTTTTTTTCTTTCAAATCTACTTTAGTTTCTCAACCTGGTGGTCGCCGGTGAGGAATGGCAGATGGTCGGTGGTCGCCGGTGAGGAATGGTGGCTGGCGGTCCAACAACGATGGCAGATATGTATATGCATACATTATATATGCATATGCATTGCAAGCCCCAAATCAAAGTAAAGCCCCAAATAAAAGCCCTAATTTTTTTTCTTTCAAATCTACTTTAGTTTCTCAACCTGGTGGTCGCCGGTGAGGAATGGCAGATGGTCGGTGGTCGCCGGTGGGGAATGGTGGCTAGCGGTCCAACAACGATGGCAGATGGACGGTGTCTCCTTTCCCTCTCCCTCTCCCTCTCTCTTTTTTTTGTTTACAGATTGAAAATGAGGAGCTCTGTTTTGTGGGAAATTTGAAATTTGTGTTTTTTTTTTTTTCGTTGATCTGGGCCGTTCTTTCTGAGTGGGGTGACGTGGCAAGATCCAGGCCATTGACCGGAGGACCGGTTGGAAACTTTGGCTGGAGAGGATCCGGACTCCTTCCAGGTTATAGTCTCTTACTCGGAATGGGTAATAGGACACCCTGGTGATCTCCTCATGGGGCGCTGCCTTGGACCTGCGGGAGGGTGGAAGGATTTCCCTATAATAAAAAAAAATAAAAACTATTATGCGCCAGAGAATATGATTAAAAGTTAATTTTTAATTTTTAATTTATTTTGAATTATATACCTTTGCTTGTTTTTAGTTTTTTAAAAATATTTTTCAGAAAATTTTACTTTTTTATTTTTTATTTTTACTGAATTTTTTTAATATTTTAAGTAATTTTTTAAAATTTTAAATACACCTAACATAAATACACATTAAAAAAAAAAAGTGCACTTCACATAATTATACTTATATAGGTGTCGTTTGGGAAGAGCTCATTTGGGCTCTTTTGGCTCTTTGAGCCACAAAAGACAGAAATAGGTTATTTGAACCACAACAGACAAAACATCACATCCAACCCATAATCATTACACTATTCTCTCACCAAAAAAGTCAAAAAAGTCAAAAAGTCAAAAAGCCCTTCCCAAACCAAGCTTTTGAGCCCAGGCTCAAATAGTCAAAAAAGCCAAGAAGCCAACCCACTTCCCAAACGGAGGCATAATATTTTGGAACACTTACATAATATTTTTGAACTATTATAGTTTCTTGTAAATTTTTGACTATGTGAAACTTTGTAAATCTTCCACAACGAATCCACCTTGAAGATTCATCTTCCAAGCATCTACATCAATTATTGGCATCTCAGAAGAAAAAGACAAAGTTTGTAGAAGATAAATCCTCCCTTCAACAATCAGAGAAAAGCACACCAGAAACGAAAAAAGTTATTGTAGATATTTATGTCTGTAATTATTTGTGTCTGTCAATAGTAAGGCTTTTCATTCACTCACTACTTTAATAAAGCAGATGACCCCTACCCTACTCCATTAAAGAAAAGCTGTGAAAATCCTTACACCTGTTTTGTAATAAATTATAGTGTCAAAATTTTATCAAAAAATGAGGATTGAATGATATGCGATGGGGCCCAAAGCAATACCCGATATCATTATCCTAATCTTTTATTGATAAAATTTTGTTATCCATATCTAGAATAGTAATTTGAGTCAAAGTCTATGCATTTATGGCATATAAATTTTTGTAAAGTCTATGGCCTAGACTTAAGTAGTCTTTTAGACTTTTGAGTCCAAACTTTTGACGTATAGATTTTTTTAGGATTGTTTGTAATCTTTAGACTTGTATGTATCTATCAACCATGTGTATAAATTGGCATTCATGCCAACGGAAGAAGTAGACTGAAAAAAAAAACTCCCTTCACGCTACTTTGCTAAAAATTTCTACCCCTCTCAAAAACTCTAAGTGTTCCAAGTCTTTCAGAGTCTGTAACCTAAACTTTGTAAGTATACTACTTATTAATATGAAGTGTGAGTAGTCTCTCTTTTTCCTTAAATATTTCAAAAGGGTAACTCTTCTGTTCTAAAAATTTATTTTCTTTTTGGAAAAACTAAGTTTATGGAATGCTTGTTTGCTCATTAATATTACATGTTTTGCACATTCGTAGTATCTATTGTTTACTATTTTATTACTGAGTGACCTTAGCTGAAGAGCCCGTGTGAGCCGTGGTTAGGCGTTTGAAGGCAAATTGTAGGCAAAAAGGAAAAAGTAAAAAATAGAAAATAAAAATATACTATGTTGAACGAAACTTAGCTTCAAGGTGGGAGTACATGTAATGAAAACAAACATTGCCTAAAAATAGTTTGGCCAAAGAAAAAAAAAATTAGAATACAAGGAGAGCAATCCGAGTATAAATATTAAGGAAATATGTCCATAAAAGAATTTTAAAAAATCAAAATTTTATACCTTTAGAAGAAGAACTTAGGATTAAAATCAGAACCAGTATTGAGCTTATACAAGAATTAGAAGATCAAAAATTAAGATATCAATTCCTATTATCATTAGCTTCCGGTAGATCTCTAGAAAATTATAGTTTGAAAATTACTCAAATAAATAGACAGATAACTATAAAACAAGAAGCCTTACATCTAACTATACAACAACTTGAAGATTTAATAGCATAACTATAGAATTAATTAGATAATTCTCAGCCCAATTTCAAAATAGTGGTAAACCACTAACCCCAACCCAAAATTGGTATCATAGC